ATGAGCCATTATAGTTGGTGTTACTACATAAAGAGCTTTACCAAGTGCTCTGCCCAGAGGCAGGGATGGAGACAGGCTTCTGTGTACACTGCTCCACAGGTAGACATGATTCCAGCATTCAACCTGTCATCCTGAGAATAAAACTTTTACCCCTAAATTCTGTTGTTCTTATTTAGTGTCCCCAAATCCAGAGTGAACTTGCCTTGGGGCAGTCCCCCTCAGGCAAGACTGTCACTCATGAAAAAAGCTAGAGAACACAAAGAAAAGGTTGCAGCAGGCCAAATCTTGGAGAACGCAAATGCGATGAGGATTAGAAACTCATGCGGATGTGCTTTGCCACAGCAACCCTCCGTTAAAATACATTTATTCAGTGAATACTATGTGGTATTCACTGTTTAGGCACTAAAAATACATCAATAAACAAGACAAACAAGATCCATGCTCTCATATTGCTTACAGTCCAATAGGGACAGATAGCTCTCCTCAGGGCAAGAGGAAAGTTAACAGTTAAAATGCTGCAAACACTTTGAGGCAGATAAATACTTCAGGGGACTGCAGATTTGAAAATTGGAAGGTGAAGGAGCCATGTAGCCATTTTCATTCCAACAGCAATGGCCAAGCGTTGTGATGGTGTGGAGAAAGTGAAGGTTCCTGTGGCCAGGATTCTCACCTGGCCCTGCTTGGCTAGCTCACTGTACACGTGTGGGCAATACATTGTTATTGACTTTATATAAAGAACTCCGCCCAGTGCTCTGGGCTGCTGCACAGCTGCAGGGCTACAAGAAAACAGAGGTTGGAGTGGTGGCAGCACAGAGGATAGACTGAGATGGCTGCAGAGGCAAAGAAGTCCAGAGGCAGAGAATGGCTTGCTGCGTGCAGACTCCCTCTGAGTGAACGGAATTCTAGTGATTGACCTGCCACCATGGGAATAAAGTTGGGTATAAACACTTTCACCCCAAGAACATTCCACTGTCATTTCTTTTGGTCTCATTGAATCCATAGTGAACTTGCCTGGGGCTGAAACCCATTGGCAAGACAGATAGAAAGAAAGTCAGAGACGTGGAAGATATAATTTTCTGGAATTTAGGCCATTTAGATGCAGACAATGAAGTGGTGGTATTGTTGGGAAGCAATTTGGTTTGGAGATGCAGAGAAGTCAGAATGAAAACAAAGTCAAGAATGCAAAGTAAATTTTATTTCACTCCGTACAGAGTAACAAGTGGGCCTGCCTAGGGTTAGGCAGGCAGGTCACTAAAGAGCATGGTCGTACAGCTGCAGTCCTGTATGGTCACCCAAGCAACAGGAGCTTGCAAGTCCAAATCAGAGCTCTCAGTAGCCCCTTCCTACTTATCTGGAGTAGAACACAGACAGAGAGTGAAGACCTATGCTTAAGTCTGGAAAATAGAACAAAGTAGCAAAATAACAAAGATGTTGTAACTCTGGGGAAAGGAAATCCTGGGGCAAAATATCTCTAAAACTGAAATCAGTCAAAGGGAGAAATAAAGTTTAAAACCTGTTTATTGCTTACAAACTGCAGTCTGGGGCCCTCTCTCTTTCCTGCTCTGACAGAAGCAAAACCTGCACTCTCCCTAACCTCTCAAGTTAAGATAAGCCGTAGGTTACCCAGGTAATTACCCATTGATACAGAGATGAACTATCTCCACCCCTGAGGAATGCTTATTGATATGCAGATGCACTAAAGCCAAGCAAGATATTCTGGAAATATTACAATTTTACTCACAGACGTTTACCGCTGGAAGAGTGCAGAGACAAAACACAGCTAAGTTGAGCAGTGAAGGGTCTTCATTTAAGGCATAAAGTACACACTTGAAGAAAGGGGAGTGTGGGAAACTGTCAGGAAGGATTTAGGGTTTGGAGTTTTATAGGGCTTTTTGGGTAGGGGTCAGCATAAGGCATGATGTATGCAGGTGATTCATAATTCCTTTAAAGTTTTGCCTTAAGAATAGGGTTATTTAGGTGACTGTGTTGGTCTGGATCCTGGAGTTCTTTATCCGCATAGGTTCATTTACACTTTGGAGGTCTACCTCCTCTCCTGGTTACAAAGTTACTTAATTGATTAAGGGGCTGGAAGAAGAGGAAGGACAGCCTATAGATTAAGTTGAAGAATAAGCTGGGCCCTTTTCACAGGCTAGGTAGATTTTACAATAGCATGCCCCTTGTCCCATTTCCCTGCCCTACCTCATTAAGTACAGCAGAGAAGTCCTTGATTGACAAGCTTTGGCCTTAGAAGCCTGATCTAATTGGTACAGTGAAGACATGGGATGCACGCTGATGATTTTCTTTATCTGGGGAATTGTTTTTCATCTGGGGACTATCTGGACATTCCAAGTCACTCCTGGCCTTTGAAACTTTAACTAATTAACTGTGAGTTTTTTCTGCCTCTCTGGTTTTATCTGGTTAACTCTTTGAGTCCCTTTTAGTGCGCTTTACTGGCTTGATTCTCTCTCCACCCTGCTCATGTCTGTCTTTCTGCCGAACAGTAGAATCAGATAATGGGAGCTCCAAGAGACAAGGTTGACCACAAGTGTTAAAACCCTGGTTTGGGGTAGCAAGGTGGTCAAAGGAATTTACTGATCCCTTCTCTCTACCTGGAAGTAGAAGGAGGAGAAGCATCCATTGAAGAGGGTTTCCAGGGCCAGTGATGGACCCAGGAGGGGTTAATCAGTGGGAAGGGAAACTTGGCTAATTCATGGGGAAGGATGGTAGGGAGAAGGAAAAGTGTGAAGATTTAGAGTCATTTCTTACATTAAATGGAAATTTTAAAAGGCACAGTGGGAGGAGCTGATAGAGTGACAATCAGATGTGGCATGTGCCCGAATGGTGGTAGCCTCAAGCAGGCTGGGTGTGAGGCTATTGAAGTCAGTAGTGTCTTGCTCCACATCCACTCTCTGTGTGTACACCCTCCTATACTGCAGAAGCTAGAAAGGTAAAACCCGCATTTTCCAGATTCCCTAGCAGACGGGGTTTGGGATGTGAATTAAGAATTACCAATCAGGCACAATTAAGTTATGCCTGAATTCCAAACTGGGAGCCAAGTGGTATGCCAGGAATCTGTTTTGCTGGTGAGGATTGGTAATCAACAGTTCAGGCAGCAAGTTCCTAATCCCTAGATCCCAGCTACAGTTGTGTTTTCCTAGAATCAGCACTTCTGGAAGTGACTTCCTCAGTGCCAGCCTCTCAACCACAGCAAAGGTAGCATAGCAGTTTCTTTCACTGGATGCCAAGCATTTTTCACAACAGATATATTGGAGTGGATCACCTTTTAACACCTCTTTTTTCTATGTGACACAGTTGTTTTCAGTAATAATCGTTACATTCAAGAAATAAAAATAAATGGCCAGAAGAGAAATGTAGGCAGCATGAAAAATTTTTTTGAACTTCATACATATATATATATATATAATCATACCAGAAAAATAAATAAATAGTAAAATAAATATTAGATTGCAAAAAAACACAGTGGGTTAGTACTTCTTAATTACATTAATGAATCTTTTGGGAATAAGGGGGAACAAACATTTCTATATAGAGGTCTGTTGCAGTAATTAATAACTACAAATGAGACAAATAGCAATCTACAAAGAGGGATCAACTCAATATTAAGGATTTTTCAAATTGGGTAAAATAGTTAATGTATGAACTAACATTTACACTTACCAAAAGTCACATTATACTTTGCAGTTGACACTGTTTCAGTATTGTGAATTTTAAACACAATTAAGAGCTATAAGTGGTCTAATAAACTACAGAGCCCAAGAAATTCAAGTTCTGTTTCTTCATCTACAATCACTGTGCTATCATTGTTTAAACACAGGAGTGTGGAGCACCACAAGTGTTTGGAGACATGAACTGCACCTGAACTCAGCTTGATTTTAAAGGGTGATAAGTTTATTCTCAAAGACGAGCATGTGTTGTTGGGTCCACGGGTGTTGGGGATTGCCTGTAAAGCTGGAAGTTCTCTCAATTAACTTCCATGTAAATACAATGTCGATTAAAAGATACGTAATTAAAATGTGCTGAACTGAAGTTTATATCTATTACTACAATTTAACAGTAGTCATAGCAATCTATTTAGAACATAGCCCCATAAATGGTATTTTTTCCAGAGAAGAGGCTTTTTTAACCACTAACATTGTTTAGAATTGTTGATGCAGGATGATAATAAAACAGATTAACTTTTAATTGGTTTTATTATTATTTTTACTTTCATGGAGAAGGTGCCTTCCCTCACTGCCTGTCTACATGGGGTAGACGACTCACCCTGCTCCCTCAGGGGGAGAACAGTGTTGTTCTAGAAATCTTCCCTGGAGACTATCGGGCCAAAGACAGGCCACCCTGAAATGTGCCCCTTTGGCATGCAGATTGTTTTGGCTGAAAGCAGGAAGGTCCAAAGACTCAGGAAGGGCCTTTGACCTCCCCCACTAACCG